AGTTGTATTTTATCGGTTCTTGGTCTTGTTTGTCAATGTCTTTGAGATTTGCATTAATTTGTATAAGGTCTTCTTTTATTGTTGAGTTATTGAAATCAAGGTTAATATTGTACTTTAAAGATTTGTCTAGGATTTCCGTTTCTTCTGTTGAAAATGTTATGTTAATAAGGTTTTTGATTCTTGGGTAGAATTCATGTGATTCTTCGTTTTCTTCATTATATAATAAAGGTGTTTGTCTGTATAGTAATTGGTTAATCTTCTTATTATGTATACAGGGTGAATTTTAAATGAGTTCCCCCCCTACTTTTTTCTACATTTCTTAAGATATCATCTTCGGACCACGTCAGATCATTGTTGAGTAGTAAGTACTTCATTTTGACTAGGTATACATTTTTGGCCGCCATCTTGGATCCGCCATATTGGATACAATTTTTTTTTTTCAAAAGTAAAGGTAGGGTTGTGACCCATTATTTCAAACTAAAATTTTACGCTGATTACAATGCCGCAATTAGTTTTTAAAAATCTTGATTCGTTCTAAAGTTATGAGGACTTTTTATAACTTTATTTTTAGCGCATTTTAACTTTGTGCATTTACAAACTAAGACCATAATCTCAAAATAGTGCTAGATAAAGATAAGTATACACCACCATTCATTGTCGACATATTTTCACTTGGTTATGACAGATGTAGTTTTTTCAGCCGCCATCTTGGAGCCGCCATTTTGAAATGTGATCAATTAATTTAAATATGAAGGTGGTGTTGTGACCCATCATTTTGAACTACTTTTTTATACTGGACTCAATGCTGCAATCCGTTTTTGGTTATCAAGCTTTCTTGATGAAATATTAAAATACTCTTATTTAAAATTTCAATATTTCAAAATCCAAAAATGCAAATGAAAAACGGATTGCGGCATTGAGTTCAACATAAAAAAGTAACTCAAAATGATGGGTCACAACACCACCTTCATATTTAAATTAATTGATCACATTTCAAAATAGCGGATCCAAGATGGCTGCTGAAAAATCTACATCCGTCATAACCAAGTGAAAATATGTCGACAATGAATGGTGGTGTATACTTATCTTTATCTAGCACTATTTTGAGATTATGGTCTTAGTTTGTAAATGCACAATGTTAAAATGTGCTAAAAATAAAGTTATAAAAAGTCCTCATAACTTTAGAACGAATCAAGATGTTTAAAAACTAATTGCGGCATTGTAATCAGCGTAAAATTCTAGTTTGAAATAATGGGTCACAACCCTACCTTTACTTTTGAAAAAAAAACTTTGTATCCAATATGGCGGATCCAAGATGGCGGCCAAAAATGTATACCCAGTCAAAATGAAGTACTTACTACTAAACAATGATCTGACGTGGTCCGGAGATGATATCTTAAGAAATGTAGAAAAAAGTAGGGGGGGAACTCATTTAAAATTCACCCTGTATATACATCTTTTCTTTAATATTTTAGGTTCTATCCATTCATTAATGTAAATTAATGTAAACATCAAAAGAAAGAAAAATCTAAATCTAGAACACAACAGAGAAAGAAGGAAGAAAGAGAAATTCATTAGTATCCCATTCAATACAACTCTTAACAGGACTACAAGAAAAACTTTTCAAAACTCTGAATACAAAATTGGCTTTAAAACAAAAAATAACGCTTTCAATATGATAACAAATAACATTAATACAAATAAAGAACATCAAGACATCTATGACAAATCTGGCATTTACAAAATTAACTGCACTGATTGTGAACACTTCTACATTGGTCAGAGAGGACGCTCTTTCAAATCTAGATTCAAAGAGCACATTCAAGCTCTTAAGAGTAACAACAGAACATCCATGAAATCAAACTTTGCTGAACACCTTTTATCGACCAACCACAATTACACAAATTTAAAAAACAGCATGAAAATTCTAATAGTTTTAAACAAAGGAAATTGAATGGATTCAACTGAAGAATATTTCATATACGAAGAAATACTAAAAAATCCAAATCATATTTTAAAAAGCCAAATTCCTTCAAGAAACCTAATCTTTGACCAAATTTTAAATTAAATAATCAGTAACAAAAATGTTTTTCCAAATCCTGTCTAATTCTATAAATCATCTGTATACATAAATTATATTTATTTAAAAACAAACAATATAAACAACAGTTAAGTATTTAATGTATTTGAAGTTTGAAAATGGACTTATGTCCGAAACATGTCACTTCTTTAAAAAAAAAAAATATTATATTCAGGGTGCTCAGTTGTACTTATTTACTACAATAATTTAATATATATGTCCATCCGCACGATAACTTAAATAATTTTTGTCCGATTTTGATAAAATTTGGTTTGAAGGTGTAAGGCGGGATAAACTTAAATGAGTTCGCGAACCAGCATGATCGGACTATGGGAAAGGGGGTTTATGGGGGGGTTTTATGGGGTAAAAATAGGTTTTCCCCATTTTTGACCCTAAAAACACAAAATTTCACAATTTCTTTCTAAACCATTTTGTAGAGCTTAACCCTTTGAGTGCCAACGTCCGGGGAACCGGACGTTTTTAGAACGAGCCAAAAGTGCCAACGTCCGGCTGACCGGACGTTTCGTAATGATCGAACAGTTGTCATAACAACCGAATGGATACTCGGATTCTTTTAACCCATATATTAACATTGAGTCGAAAGTTACTAGATGCGATACATCGATTTTCGTTGGTCGAAATATCGAAAATTTGATTTTTACGAAATTTTAACCTAAAAATCGCCAGATCGCGCTCGGCATTTTTAGCGCGACCTTACTACAGTACCTTTTAACATTTTAAATTTAAAAAACTTTTTTACCCTCCCTGTTGCAGCAAACCTAAGTAGGTACTCGTTAAACTAATTCTGTTTAAAAAGGGAACAAATGTATGATATTTTTAAGGAGACATTTTAGTGTAAATCCAATCAGGCAAATGGAAATTTGCTAAGTCTGCAGGATTGCTGCGGCGGGGGTATTTGATTTTATTGTAGTAAGTAGGCCTACATAGGTTTATCATATGTATTTACGCCCCTTCCCCGTGCAAACGTTGATTGATATATATATAGGATTTTTCGTCATACTGCAACAAAAACATGCGTTGCGGGTCTAGCAGCCTTTTAACTCTCTAGCCAGAAAAAAGCGTTTTTAGCCCCTAGGGAGTAAAAATCAGCTGTTGTCAACTCAGTTAAAAATTTTGATTGTAAACAATAGCATGTATCGAAATGTATTGATTGTTTATCAATTGAAGCTTTATTGTTGACTTATTTAAAATAGTTTGACATATGGATAACATAATGTGCACTTTGTAATAGACAAAACGATTTAATCACTTTCACAGATGTTTCTTTCCATTAGCAAATAAAATTGAAATCAGGTTAAAGTAGATTTGAGAGGCTATCTTGAAATAAAATCTATTTTAGTTTTATAACAAAGTTTGTTCAAATAATGGTATGATGACGTGACAAAAATATAGTTCATCATAAAGGTCAAAAAGTGTCTTTTCAATCCTGGCTCAAACTCGGTTAAACTTGAGCTCGGGTAGAAAAGAGTCACTTTAGGCCATAGTGATGAATATGAAATTTACTATTATTTTATTGGGAAATATATATGGCACAATTTCTAAAAATTTTATACCTGACAATTATGGTTTGAAAAAACAACCAGACTCTACCACCACATGAGCCCAAGGGGATCTCAAAACTTAGACAGTAAAAAATACCCCCGCCGCAGCAAACCTGCAGACTAAGCGAATTTCCATTTGACTGATTGGATTTACACTGAAATGTCTACTTAAAAATATAGCATTTATTCCCGATTTAAATAGAATTAGTTTAACAAGTACTTAGGTTTGCTGCATCAGGGAGGGTAAAACTGTTTTTTTTTTTGTAAAATGTTAATAGTTAGTAAAAAATAAAAACATTTTCCAAATTTGATCAAAATATGTTCATAAACAAGCAAACTACAACAGTTTACTCATTCTCCATAAGAATAACATGGGAATTTTAAATTTACAATTTTTTGACGAGCAAGTGTAATAACGCTGACAGTGTCATCCTATTAATAAATAGTGGGCCTTATGTAATAGTTTATTATATAATGGACGAGCCATTTTATATAAGACTATTATTTAGTACCTATAAATCATTGTAGTAATAGTCCAAACCACGTACGGTTTTATAATACCCCCGCCGCAGCAAACCTGCAGACTAAGCGAATTTCCATTAACCTAAATGGATTTACACTAAAATGCCTTCATAAAAATACCACATTTATTTCCTATTTAAATAGAGTAAGTTTAATAAGTACTTAGGTTTGCTGCAACAGGGAGGGTAAAAAAGATTTTTTTTACAAATAGTTTAGTAAGAAATAAAAGTATTTTCCAAAATCAATCAAAATATGTTCCTAAACAAGCAAACTACAACAGCTGACTTATTCTCCATAAGAATAACATAGGAATTTTAAAATTACAATTTTTTTGAATTTTCTCCGTAACAATTAGGAGCATAATAACGCTTCAATATACTAAATTATTTGTTTTTTTAAGCTCTACAAAATGGTTTGGAAATAAATTGCTAAATTTTATGTTTTTTGGGTCAAAAATGAGAAAAACCTATTTTTACCCCATAAAACCCCCCGTAAACACCCGTTCCCATGGTCCGATCATGCTGGATCGCGAACTCGTTCGAATAAACGTAGGTTTACACGTTTTTACCAAATTTCATCAAAATCGGATCATTTTTGCTCGAGTTATCGTGCTGACGGACACATATATATATATATATATATATATGAATTTGAACGGATGGTGTTTTTGGCCTCTAGGGACCTCAAAACGAAAAGAAAAATCGGTCCCGCGTCCAGGTCTTACCATGAGTACTACGGTAATAGCTTATTCCCTATATGGGAAATTCGCTAACAAGTTCACTTGTAGAATACCGTAGACCATAAAATTGTCGTCAAACCGCAAGCTATAAACTCACATATCCTGCCTCGTTGTCGGGGAATGCCTCAGTAAGAGACACTGAAGGTCTACAAGGTCCTCCTTCATACCTCAACACTGCCACTTGTGAGGTTTGATCACAATCTCCCAGACCTTCCACGAACATGAAGTAGGCATCAATGGGCTGCATTGCTTCTATCACAACGTCGTATCTTTCACCTGAACAAATCCCACACTATACCAGTCAGCTACTTCTAAGGATGACCAGAATCATTAATTAATTATGCCTTACACAGTTTAAAATAGGCCAATAGTTTTTGGAAAATCTTTCTAAAATATTTATTTAGGAAAATATGTTGGGTATGTTTACAAAACACTTTTGCTGTCTCAGAGCCTAAACAAGCATAAAATACTTTATTATCTGAGTGGTAAAGACAATCTATACCGGGTAAGGCTTGTAAAGATCAATCAATAGTTTACTATAAGAGTTAGTTTAGTTGAGTGAGTTTAAGCACCACCTTCACATGATATACCGTATAAACTTGCAAATCCAACCTATCTAACCTAGCCATACTACTTTTGTTGGATTTGTTGTAACTGTCCTCCTTAAAACATTGCACATGTTGTATTGGGCAAGGATTCATCGGCTACTTTTGGAAATCTGCAGTATAAGATTATTGTTGTGAGAAGTATTTGATGAGATTGTCTGTTGTGTTATACTACTTCTCTGTTACCGAATTACTAAAATATTATGCTCTAAAATGGTGTGCATTTTAATTTAAAGATGACAGTTTTGTAGAATAAATGACATAAAGCTTATTTAGCAATTAATTAATAGTAATACCAGCCAGTTCTAAAGCCAGGAGTGCTTAAACCCAATGATCAAGAACAAGGAGTAAATTGGACATAAATTTCTGTAGTGTTATCGTAAGTTGAATTAAAATGTAGTTTTAATAAGACAAATACTTTATTAGGTAGCTCTTACCATAAATCCAGATCCAGAATGTTTACCAGCAAAAACTAAACAAATAATATTCTAACACCATATGTTTTTAAACACATATGAATAACAACACATCTCCCCTTTAAAGATCGAACCTCCGGGTAGGTTTGACTTGTCTTGATGATCTTCTTAGATTTGCTAAAGGATTTGTCTGCGATGCCATTGCAGGATGATCGAAAGGTTCTGATCTTCTCAGGTGTTTTGAAGGACTGGTCTGCAGTGCTGGTTCAGTGTGATCAGAAGGCATAGTAGTGCTAAATCTTTGCAGTGATCTTCTGTTCCTCCGCAAACAACCATCTTGCGTTTGAATTATATAGGATCGAGGTGCAGGATGTTTGTTTAATATAGTTCCTCCTTGATTCCTGTCCTTTATATGGACTTGAGCTCCATCAGGTAGAGTAGGCAATTCTTTGACTCTATGTCTTTTGTCAAAATAAATCTTTTGACGATCAATTCTTGCTTCTTCCTTTTCCCTTAACTTTTCAGCGTCTACCAGATAGGGTCTTAGTTGATCAGACATTATTGGAACATAAGTGCGGATGAGTGAAAATTTAAAAACGTACGTTTTCAGGAAAAGCACTTTGCAAATTTGTTCCCCTTTTTTCAAAACTTTTATTATTTTTTTTATTTTATTAACATTTGAAGTTTCATAAAATGTCCATGGTAACGCAATATCTTTGATAGTTTCTTTTTAAAAGAGCATCTTTAGTGGAAAAACACAAAATCCTGTCACGACCATAACGGACGTTAAAAGAATATTAAAAATAGTTAATATTATTTTTATAACTATGTTTTGCTATAAACTAATTTACTTTTATGACCATTACACAATAAAAAGGTCACTGAGCTTTTGCTATATTTGGTCTTTCTAGAAAAAAATATAAAAACTCAAAAAATTTAAAAAAGCCAATAAAATCTTTTTAAGTTTGTATAACTCCGAAAAAACTTACCTGAGACTCGAAAAATCGTTATGTTTGTATAGAGGTGTGCTTCTTTTGTGTATAAAACATTGAAATATGACGATATTTTAATTTTTGAAATTTGTATGATAGAAATCATAAACGTGATGGTCAGGGACAAGCGGTACGGTCGTGAATTGTCTGAAATAATATAAATCTTTCTAAACAATCCTTCAATTATCCTGTTAGTTATAATAAAAATATGTGTTTCAATTGAACTAAACTGTTCAATTTACAATTATATTAAAGTTATTGTCACGACCAAACACACTATAATCCATAAGGCTGGATTGGTCGTGAAAAAACCCGGGATGGTCGTGAAACTTTGGTCGTGAAATTACGTGTTATTTGGCTCTGTTCTGGTGGTAGCCCTGCACCTCATGTTCGAGGATACAAAGTGGACTTCTAGGTTAATCTAGCAATTGAAATATCTTATAAACAAAAATTAACACTATGTCTACTTAATCGAATGACTACGTACGGTCATGGACACACCAAAATTACAAAAAACACAATCTTTCCTTTATTAATCTTGTAATTCCTCCTTTCAACTCGAAACGACCGGCACTACAATCCTGACGTACACCCTGAACTAGTCTCTAAAACCAACTGACTCCATCGACGCCAGGCTTGCCACTGTCGTGCTCCAAAGTTGAAAATTTTTTCCAAATGGTCGTGACGCAAAATCGAGGGACAGACTTATTTTGTCATGGTAGTCAGTTTGTAATGACAATAAAATTATAATATGCTCCTTTTTTGTAATTTTAATAACCATTGATGACATAAAAATATGGCTTTATATATTTCGGCATGAATAATTAGTCTAAAAACAGCGTGAAAGTTGGAAAATGTACCCTAGGGACACGTCATGGTCGTGAATTTCGAGACTTTAAAAATACGAAAAAAATACCTAGAACCTATTTAAACCCAAATAAATGTGTGTAACATGTTGCCCCCGTCCCAAAAAGTATTAAAACACATAATAACAAACTACAAATCCAGTATATACGAAGTAAAAGGCCAGGGACATGAAAACGTACGTTTTTAAATTTTCACTCGGATCCTTCTCCCGAAAAGTAATTCCGCTGGACTTTTCCCATTTTCTAGAGGGGTTACTCTTAACATAAGTAGCATTTTGTAGGGATCATCACTTTTTTCTAAGTTGTACTTAAAGTTTTTTACTTGCGCTTCGATGAAGTCGTTGCTTTGTGGAAATTTTGGGCTTGATGTAATCAATTTAAATCCATAATCACGACCAAGTTGTTTGAATTGACAGCAGTCAAATTGAGAACCACAGTCTGCTCTCACTGTCTCAGGTACACCATGACGTGCGAAAATGGACTTTGTATATGTCACAATAGTGCCCATTTTTAAGTCATTTAGTCTAGCAATTTCCATAAACCTGGAATAATAGTCTGAGATTAAGAGATACCAGTGACCTTTGCACTTCAGCAAATCGGCACCCACTATTTGCCAAGGTCTGTCCGGGTAAGGGGTTGGTATCAGCGGCTCTGCTCTCGTAGCACGATTTTCTGCACATATCTTGCAATTTTCTACTAGTTCTTTGATTTGTTGAGGAAGACGAGGCCACCACACAGTCAATTTTGCAAAAGATCTACATTTTGTTATGCCTTGATGTCCTTCATGAATACTTCTTAGTACATTAGCTCTTAGAGAATTTGGTATTATAATACGACTTCCAAAGAGAAGTATACCATTTTGCTCACTTATATCTTCTCTATGATACCAGTAGGGCAATACATCCTCTGGAATCTTAGATTTTTCCGGCCAACCTTTCACACAATACTGAGACACATGTTTTAGAGTTTCATCTTTCATAGTTTCTTGATTTATTTCTCGCAACTTTTCATCCGAAACTGATGGTAGAGTAGTGTCAATATTTTGTATATATGCAAGGATTTCCTCTGTAAGTTCCCATTCTTCTTCAGAGTTCTCTGTGTCTCGAGACAGTGCATCAGCCAAAATCAACTGTTTACCGGGCGTGTAGGTAATATCATATGTATATCTCATCAGTCGGAGTCGTATTCTCTGAAGCCTGGGAGTAATATTGTCCAAGTCCTTTATCTTGAATATGGAGAGCAAGGGCTTATGGTCTGTCTCAATATGCAAATGCAACCCTAAAATGAGGTGTTCAAATCGTTCACACCCCCATGCAATCACTAGAGCTTCTTTTTCTATTTGAGCCCAATTACGTTCGGCTGATGTCAAACTTCAAAGCATAGGCCACAGGACGTTTAGTTCCATCTTCTTGAAGCTGAAGTAGTGCAACTCCAATACCGTATGACGAGGAATCCGCTGAGAGGAAGGTTTCTTTAGATATGCTGTATAAAGCGAGACACGGTTCGGACATCAATGACAGTTTAATATTTTCCAAAGCTTGGTCTTGATCAGGCCCCCAAACAAATTCTGTATTTCTTTGCAGTAAAGCATGTAGTAGATGAACTATGGTCGACAAATTATGAATAAACTTTGCTACGTAATTGACAACACCTAGAATTCTCCTTAGTTCTTTAACATTAGTTGGCGTCTTGAGTTTTTGGATAGCCTCAACACGAGAGGGATCTGGCTTAATACCATTTTTAGTTACAAGGTGGCCTAGTAAACTGATACTGTCATGCCGGAACACACATTTTGATCTATTCCCCTAAGTGTCCAGCCCTTTTCCTGGAGCCTACACAAAACACTATGTAAATTTTTGTCATGTTCTTCCATATCTTTCCCGTATATAGTTATGTCATCGAAATGGCAAACAACACCTTGAAGCCCTTCAAGTGATTCAGACATTTGACGCTGGAATACTTCTGAACCTGTAATATTACATGTCATTCATTCATCATTAACATTAATTTCTCTTTTATTTTGTATATTTTCTCTCATAATGTCTGTTAATGCCCCTGATAATGTGTTATCAGTTATTTAATATGTTTCTCCTTGTTAATGTGTTATTTTATCAAATTTTGTTCAATGTTATATAATATCCCATCACCCCACAGAAACATCATCCTATTTCATGTTACAATAAAATATTTATGCAAATTCTCTCCATACCTATTAAGTACTCATCAAAAACCAACAATAATCATTTATTTAGAATAATATATAATTGTAAGAAAATTGCAATATAGTAATAAAATCTTAAATATAGTATCACTTTTCAAAATTATCCAAAGAAAATCAAAATTACTGTGGCAAGTGTCATTCATGTAAATTTAACCAGCTGTGCATCATTGCAACAATGGACATGGACTTCCTGAGCCTCTACCATTGCCTCTCCCCAGATCCTGCCAACTCTTCACAGTGTGAACATCATTCTATCGGAAATTGTGATTGATTTAAACTAAAATTTATAATCCCAAAGTAAAACCTATATTTTAAATTTCTCATCATCCAAAAGTATTGGACAAGTGCATTGAAGAGTACCAATTTGGGCTATAAGAAGACAGACACTCCAAATTTGGTAACCATCATCCATCTTATTTAACTAAGGACAAATTTAATCTTCATTGGACATTTAATCAGTACAGCCTACTAGGCCCAAAAACTCAACTCATCAAGATATACATATTTCAAATTGAACTTTTATTCAAAATTTAATCTTCAAATTCTATTTTATTTCATTAAATTCAGTGAAACCATTTGGAATCTTTCTTTGGACATTAACATTATTAGCCTATATTAATAGCATCATGAACCTAGCTTAACTTATTTCAGAACAATAACTAAATTAAATTATTTGTATTTTAAAGAAGCCTAATATATCATTCGAACCGGCACGACCACCCCTCCCTGGATTAAGAGCTCATAGCCTATTTAAATATTAATTAGTGTACTTTAGAAGAAACCAGCCCAATATAAGCCTAGAATCTTTTGATCCACTTTGGAACCCCCACCATTTTGAAAATTTACCATTGTTAACTTACCCTGTAGCTAAATTCAACCAATAACTTATCTTATATTTGTATTTCATTAATAAATTTTATATTGTAACTTATCAAATCTATTTATTCTTAAAATAATTCATAATTATAAGATTAAGACAAAGACTTACCTTATTAGACAGAAACAAAACACAAATTAGGAATTATCTTTATTAAGAAATAAAAATGACTTTCAGTTCAATGTGGGCTAACTTAGTAGCCAAAGGAATTTTGTAGGCCTAAGTTAATGAATAGCCTATAGAAAGCTTTATGGTGTGTAGCAAACCAGTGGAAATCCCGAAAGGAAGTCGTAAAAATCTGAACCATCCAAAAGGTGTGATGAAAGTAGTCAAATATGAAGCTTCTTCTGTTATGGGTATTTGCCAATAACCCGAGTTAGCATCTAGTTTCGAGAACACCTTAGCACCATCTAATTGTCCCAGAGTGTAGTCTACAGAAGGCACAGGATATAGTTCTCGTTTAACACTCATTAAGTTTAGTAAAACCTACGCAAAGTCTTATTGAATTGTCCTATTTAGGGACAATGACAAGAGGTGAACACCAGTCAGTCGGAGTGTCTACTCTCACGATAACACCTTTATCCAACATTGTATCCAGTTCTTTTTTTACAGCGTCTTTATAGGGTAGGGGAACACGCCTTGGAACTTTGAGAGAGTACGGTTCAGAGTTTGGCTTTAATTTTATATTATAATGAGCTTGTGTATCACCAAGACCGCTGAAAAGTTTAGGGTATGATGTAAAGGGATCAAATGAGCCAGTTGAGTTGACTCGAAACATCCTTTTAACTAGACCCAATTTTTCACTAACTTCGTTGCTCAAAAGGGTTCTATCAGCACCAGATATTACATAAAACTGAGACTTACAATATTGATTCTTGTACTGGATTATACCCTCGAATACGCCTAAGATATTAAGGACAGATCCGTTAGGCCCAATTAAAACTTTGTTACTTGAATTTAGTGGGGTACATAAAAAATTTCAACTTATAAAGTGATTGGGGCAAAACACAAACGTCAGCTCCAGTGTCTATCTTAGCTTGAATACATACGCCATTTAGTTTAACTTCAGCAGACCATTTTTGCTTTAGGATTCTTTTGAGGATTAATAGACCCCACAAAGTTGTCATTCTTAATAACTTCATCTTGAAGAGGATTTGAATTTATTTCCTTGACATTTTTGAACTGGCAACATTTAGCAAAATGGCCCTTCCTGTTACAGTTTCGACAGAAAATATTCCGGGCAGGACATTTTGGTCGTTCATGTTGAGCGTTACCACACCACTGGCATTGATTGTAATTGTTACTGGACGAATAGGAATCAACTGGAGGTTTCTGACCAAATTTAGTGCCCCAAGTCCTTGAAGTGACTTTATCTGCAGTTAGTGCATGTTCAGAAGACCTGGACCTCATAAACGATTGTTGCATTTTAACCGATTCGGCTTGCTTAACATTTGAGACAGCAGAATTAAGTGTTAAATCTGCATTCATTTGTAGTTTTTCAGACAAACTTTTGTCTCTAATCGCTACAACAAGTTGATCTCGTATAGCCTCATCTTTATAAGAAGCAGGAAAATCGCATCTAGAAGCCATATCATGTAGATCTAGAATCAAACTCTCAACACGCTCTTCCTCATGTTGAACCCTAGTATGAAACATGTACCTCTCATAGATTACATTTTTAGAAGGAGCGAAATATGTATCAAATTTTGTTAAAACAGTTTTGAAACTTTTACTTTCCTCAGATGTCAAATTAAATGATTCAAATATGCTTTTGGCCTTTTCGCCCATCATATATAGTAAGGTGTTTACCTGATACGGTTCGTCTTCATTGGTGAGGCCAGATACCGCATGAAAGCGCAAGAAACGGTTTTTCCATTTAGACCAGTTTTCTCCTTTAAAATCAAAATGTTCTGGGGAAGGAACACTAAAACTTTTCATCTTTATGTACTGTATTGCTAAAACAATAAAAAACCCGCTGCCACCATGTAGTGTTATCGTAAGTTGAATTAAAATGTAGTTTTAATAAGACAAATACTTTATTAGGTAGCTCTTACAATAAATCCAGATCCAGAATGTTTACCAACAAAAACTAAACAAATAATATTCTAACACCATATGTTTTTAAACACATATGAATAACAACACAATTTCCACCGTAGTTGGTAATCAAGGGTGAATTTTTAAAATCACAGATCAAAAGACTTTTCAATGCTATGTCACTCTGTTAGATTTTTATCAAACAGTAGGCCTACTTATAAAGTATAAATAATCTTAAATATAAATAAAAGACATAGGCTACTAAAACCTAAATGAAAACTGGTTTGAGTAAATATCTAAATAAAAATAGGCAATTTCAATTGTCCATTGATCAAAAAGGAAAGAGCAAAAAGATGTATTTTGTATTTCTTACCAGCGGACAGAATAACAGAGTCAAAATACACAGGTTCTATTGGGTTCCTGTCAGTAGCAACAGCCAGTAGTTTATGGTCCTGGACTGTAAAGCGGTAAGGACACGACAGACAGCTTGCTCCTATCAGACGGAAGCGGTAACGGTAACCCTGGCGAACCTTGAATTCTGACAGAGGTGCGTTGCCAATTATCTCTTTCTTGTTAATCTGGGGAAGGATTTTTCTTAAATAATTACTGAGTTGAAATATACTTCAAAATGCTTGGTTCAATTGTGATTAATTTTTGAAAATAATATAATGAGGAATCATGAAGAACAAAAAGAAATGCTATAGTTAATTTCTTGCCATCTAAACCTTCCTAAATTTGGTTCTTTGGAAATTTGACCACAGTGTTTCAGAGTTACAGCATTAAAATAAAAATATATGGATTAATTAATATATATAATACAATAATTTTTTGAAACACTTTACGATATTGACTACTATCAGTAATTATATATGCTATCCATTAGTAAGTGTATACATTATAAGAGAAAATCTATCGCACAGTCATTTTATTAAAAATTCAAAAATAAACCAAAACAAATTAAAACCACCAGTTGTTACCACTTTATTTCCTCGGCCGTTGATGAGGTATGTTGCAGGGGATTGGCCAGTTTCTCGGTACCTGTAGTATCCAGGAAATCTTTCATCAGCGGTAGTGTGCATCCAGTCTTGGATCACAATTACATGTGATGGCAAATCAAAGTCATAAAAACGCCGAATAGGATTTTCTGAGTCCGGAACTCTTACAATAAAACTGCCAAGTACTCCATCAATTTTTTGAAGTCCTGAAAACAGTGAGTGTTTAATTTATTGAATGTTGAACATGTGACAATAACGACGACGTCATATCTTTTAAATTAAACATTTTTAAACACAATCTATATTATATGGATAGATGTTTATCCAAACATTTTGATTCAGAGATAAATTATAAGATCCATGGTTTTGACAGCACAGCTATTTTTGTAGCTGTAATACAACAATAAAAAGCTTTGTCCGTTATTTTAAGACCAGACACCAATACACTACAAGATCGCGCCACTCATCCTACACTCATCTCCATTCATACTTACCTACCTACTTTGTATGGTCGCCATTTCATTGAAAAGTATTAAAGTATTGCGGGGATAACACCTTTGATAATACATAGTAAATATTTTTGTAATAGAAGCAAAAACTTTAATTTTTTAATTCATGCAAATCTCAAACACATGATTAAGGTGGCTCCAGACATGCGCAAGTTGCCAAGCACGATATATTTGACATTCGACGATCTGGTTGTCTTGCAATTCGCCGATTAACTAGTAGACATAAAATCAAATCTCTTTATTGTCTTTCAGCTCTACAAAAGCAATTGACATTGTCAAGGTATCTTATCATTAAAGCATTGAACATAGTCATAGAATAAATAACAGGAACCTTGATCTTAAATTATATAAAAACTTATATCTAAAACCTCCAAGGACAAGAACTTATCTACATAGTAGAAACATTTTAATTTTAACCATGAATCAAGGGTTGTTTTGAATTTTTTTACTGGAATCGTTACTGCAGAAGGAGGCAATTTATTAAAAAAATGTATACTAAGATATTTGTAGCTATTGTGTGTAATTGTAAGTCTTGTAAGTGGTAAGTTGAGATGATGGCTATTTCTTGCGTAATGTGCATGCATGTCAGATCAATTAAAAAGATTTTTGAAACCTGAGAGCCTGTGAGTTGAGTTGGTATTAATATTCTTTAAAAACATGTGTTGTTTATTATTAAAGAATAACAATTGATTCTCATTCTACTCATAACATGGGCTTTGTTAAATAAAATAATACTAATTTCTTTATCCAACTTTTATTGTTTTATTTGGTTATGGGCTACAGAAAATATTAAAAGAATGGATTTAAGAGTGAATGTTGAAAAACTAAGCAATTCTCAATCATGGAGAAGGTGGAAGCGCCAGATGGAATTAGTTTTGAGACATCATGGAATTAGTGATCTGATTACTGGTGAAAGGACAAGGCCTGAAGAAACAGAGGAGCAGAAGCTTAAGGATTTTAAGAAAGGTGACACCTTAGCTCAGGTACTTATTGTAAATGCTCTAGACGATTCACATGTAGAATTAACAGCTACTTGTGATAGTGCACATGAAATGTGGCAGAAGCTGTTGAGTATATATGAACAATCATCAAGTCAGAGACTAGATAGAACAATGGAACAGTTCTTTACATCTAGTATAACTGATGGAGAAGATTTGATCAAATATATCTCAAGATTGCAGTTAAACTTCAGAGAAGTGAATGATGAACTTAAAAAGCATAAAGCTTCAGAACTGCCAGAACTTGTGTTGATGTCAAGGATTATGAGTACACTACCTAAAGAATTTTTTGAGTTCAAGAGTGTATGGGAAAGCATACCAGTGAAAGACAGAAGTGTTGATTTGCTAATAGAGAGAATTCGTCTGATTGAGTCCAGGCTACCTAGGTCTATGAATTCTGATAATGGACAAGCCTTACAGGTTAGTAGAAATAGCACAAGTTCATTCTCAGAAGGCAAAAAGCATTCTATAAAGAAGAAAATAAAGTGTTTTATTTGTAAGGGACCACACTATGCTAGTCAGTGTCCAAAGAAATCAGAAAAAGAAGACAAGAACAAGACTGAGCCTAGAAAATGTAACAGTGGTCCATTCTTGTGTTTTGTAGCAAAGGAGCACAAGAAAGACAACTTTATTGCAGACTCTGGAGCATCGCAGCATATGTGTTTCCGGAGGGACTTCTTTCACACATATCAGAGGTTTACTTCACCAATTAACGTCACTGTGGGAAATGGTGATGATATTGAGGCAGTTGGAGAGGGAAATATTCGAGTAAGTGTGAATATTGGTAAGAACCGATACATCACAACTTTAGAGAATGTATGGTACGTTCCCAAGCTAGGAAGGAACCTGATGTCAGTCAGCACAACAGTGAAGAAAGGATTTAGTTTCAAAGTAACTAAAGAAAAATGTGTCTTCATGAAGAATAACGTTGCACAGCTGTATGGACATTGTGTAAATGGACTCTATGAAGTTGAAATGGATGTTCTGTTGCCGCATGCAGAAGCTAAAACAGCGTGTAGTAGTAAACTGAAAACTGTCCAAGAGTGGCATGAAACTCTGGCTCATCAAAATAAGACACATGTGTTAAAAACTCTTAAAAGCAGGGGAATACGTGTCAAGGTAGAAGATGAATTTTGTGAAGGTTGCGTACTAGGCAAGCAACACAGAGCTACATACCATTCTCGAACTGTAAAGCCAACAATTGCAGGAGAAATAGTAAGTGGAGATCTCTGTGGTCCTATGGAAAACATTTCTCTAGGAGGAAGTCGCTACTGCCTGGTTTTCAAAGACTACTTTACTAAATTTAGAAGAGTATTTTTCATCAAAAATAAGACGGAGGTTACAGACTGTATTGAGACATACTTGAATGAATGTCAAACTGCTGGACATGTGGTAAAAACGTTTATGAGTGATGGTGGGACTGAGTTTAATAATTTTGCAGTGAAGAAATTGCTCGCTAAACGAGGCATCACTATGAGAACTGTTATGCCTTATACACCAGAAGAAAATGGTTCTATTGAACGTGAAATGCGCACGTTAGTTGAATCAGCAAGAAGCATGTTGTATTCAAAGAGATTGCCAAAGAGCTTATGGGCAGAGGCAATGAACACGGCGTGTCATGTGATCAATCGGACAGGACCAACAAGTACAGAAGGTACACCTTATGAACTTTGGTATGGAAAAGGACCAGCCCCAATTGAACATTTTCGACCGTTTGGTACAGAATGCTATGTGCATATCCCAAAACAGAAATGGAAGAAATGGTCAGCAAAATCAGTTCCAGGAAAATTGGTTGGGTATTGCGATGAACGAGATGGATTTCGAGTCTACAACGGTCACACAATAGTGGTCAGTAGAGATGTTGTCTTTAAACCTTATCAGAAAGGAGAGGTTGTCAGAGCAGAGGGCATCACAGAAGATTGGGCTAAGACTGTTCCTGATGAAGACAAAGAACTTGACAAAACCTTATCCATTCCTATCCTATGCGAAGACAAGAGTCAGCCAATCAATTTTCAAGAGGAAAATGAAGAAGCTGAACCTGATGAAATTGAATATTGTGAACAACCAGAAGAGGAAGATCGACCTGATGAAATTGAATATTGTGAACAACCGGAAGAGGAAGATCGACCAGGAAGGAAAAGGCAACCACCTAGTTATCTTCAAGATTATGTTCTTGTAGCTGAAGCTGGACCAACATATAATGAGGCCGTTAGTAGTGAAGAGTGGTTTCATTGGCAGGCAGCTATGAATGATGAGATGGCATCTCTTCAGAAACACCAAGTTTACAAGCTCGTACCGTTACCCAAGAACAAGAAAGCAATTGGAGTAAGATGGGTTCTTACAAAGAAGAAAAATCCAGATCAATACAAAGCTAGGCTTGTTGCAAAGGGCTACGCTCAGAAAGAAGGAGTAGATTATTTTAGCACCTACAGTCCTGTAGCAAGATTTGATACTCTAAGGACAGTATTAAATATAGCAGCACAGGAAAGCATGTTTTTGAAACAATTTGATGTAAAAACAGCATTTTTACATTCAAAGCTAGATGAAGAGGTTTATGTCGAGCAACCTGAAGGTTATAACGACAACTCCGGAAGAGTGTGGAAACTACAACGTAGTTTATACGGCCTTAAGCAAAGTCCTAAGTGTTGGAATAAAAGACTTTCTGAGTTCATGAAATCTCAAAATTTCAAACCGAGTACAGCAGATCCTTGTTTGTTCCTTCATGAAGGAAATGGTGAAAAGATGTTTGTCATAATTTATGTGGACGATGGACTCATATGTGGTACTTGTGAAAAACAAGTGAATGTATTTGTGCAGAACTTGAAACAAAACTTTGAAATCAAAGTATCAAAACCTGAAACTTACCTTGGAATCGAGATTGTTCAAACAAGTGATGGAATAGTTCTCAGCCAGAGGGCATACTTAGATCAAGTTCTAGAAAGGTATCGGATGTCGAACTGTAACGCAGTGTCAACACCATTTGACAAATCCGATGTCAACATAAATGCAAAGCCTCTATCAACAGAAGTGCCGTATCGTGAAGCTGTGGGCAGTTTGCTATATTTGACAAACACTCGCCCAGACATCTGCTATGCAGTTAGTATGGTGGCACAGCATGTGACTAGTCCAACCATCAAAGACTGGAACCAAGTCAAGAGAATCCTTCGTTACCTGCAAGGTTCTAAGGACTACGTTATACACTACACGAAGCAGAGCGTTGAACCGAAGATTCTGAAATGTTACACCGATGCAGACTTCGAAGGTGATGAAAACAGCAGAAAGTCACGTTCAGGATGTCTATGTTTGTTTGCTGGCGGAGCCATTAGTTGGTTTTCAAAGAAACAAAATTGTATTTCACTATCAACTACTGAAGCGGAATATGTTGCTGCTAGTGAAGCTGCTAAGCAAGTAATATGGCTTAAAGGCTTGTTAGAAGAAATCAGCAGTTCATCGATCGAAGCAACTATGTACATTGACAATGCTGGTGCAGTACAATTAGCACACAATCCTTCAACGCATGGAAGAACGAAGCACATCAGTGTTCGGTTCCACTTTGTTAGAGAGCACTTCAACAACGGATGTTACAAAATGGAACATGTTCCTGGAAGACTTCAGTTGGCAGACTTCTTGACAAAGAGTTTACCTTCTAGTCGACTGAAGTAACTTTTGAACCTCTCAGGTTTGAGGGCAAATTAAAAA